AAAGAAAAAAGAGGGCCAGCCGAGTGGCTCAGTTGGTTAAGAGCTGGCTTAAGAGCATGAGCTCTGAGCAACAGGGCCGCCGGTTCAATTCCCACATGGGCCAGTGACACTGCACCTGAGCTGAGTTGTCGCTGAGCTGCCAACAGGTGGCCGGATAGCTCAGCTGGTGTAACAAGATTGCCTGTTTGATGGTGGGTTACGCTCACCCACAACTAAGACTGAACTTGGCACCTTGAGCTGAGCTGCCACCTGGATGGCTCAGTGGATAAGAGTGTGCGCTCTTAACAACAAGGCTGCTGGTTCGACTCCCTCATGGGATGGTGGCTACGCTCACCCACAACTAACACTGAACACAGCACCTTTAGCTTAGAGGCCACAAGCAGCTGATGGGCAGCCAGATGGCAACTGGCGCCATCCACAACGAAGATTGAAGAACAACAACTTGGCTGGCCCCCTTCCCCAATTCCCCAATAAAATCTTTAAAAAAAAAAAAAAAAGAAAAAAATTAAGCCACTCTGGAAACTCCTCTTCATTGAATACAGATTTCTAAGTGTCGCTCTCTGTATTCCCACCCATCCTATAAGCCTCCTGGGACAGAAATCTCTGCAAACCATTTGAGGCAGATAAGAGTTAACACTTTGTATGCGGGCATTTTCCCGCCAAATCGCGTCGTAACAAAGAGGTCTCTATACCTGAGTTAACTCCCGCGCTTTGGTATCACATTGTTTGTGGGAAACGAGTAAACTCGTCATAGCGCTTTAACTCAGGTATAGAGACCTCTTTGTTACGACGCGATTTGGCGGGAAAATGCCCGCTTACAAAGTGGTATAAAAAGCGCTATGACGAGTTTATTCGTTTCCCACAAACAATGTGTTAAGACGCTGATGCTGTGAAATGGTACACTCAGCACAGAAAAGACAAATATGAATTTGCACCATACAGGTGGGAAGTATTGCAAGTGAGAGCACTTTTATGGAATAAGCTGATCCTCTAAGTGAAAGAGGCTGGCATATAGCAGGTTAGGAGCTCAGTAAATACTTGGTGAAAATGTCAAGTTGAGTGGTATCAGAGGTCATGTAAACTAGATAAGCGGAAGCAGATTTTATTGTCATATTCCTCCCACAAAATGCCTCAGTCTTGGTACACAGACCAGATGCAGCCATCAGTGCAAAATACTGCAAAACAGCAGTCACCATGAGTTAAACTAGCCTCAAAGTCCCACAATGGAAATCTGTCAAACAAGAGCACCTTCAACATCTTTATGCCACCAAAAATGCACATAACCACTGATGGCTCTACAAGAAGGACTGAGTGTCCAAATCCTGTTTAGGTGTCTAAATATCTCAATCTTGGGCCAAGGGACATGTTCTTATATCATTCTTTTTCTTTTTTTTTTCTACTTACTTGCTCATTTATTCAGCTCTTTAGATTCCGAATATAAGTGAGATCATATGGTATTTGTCTTTCTCTGACTGACTTATTTCACTTGATGTTCTCTAGGTCCATCCATATCGTTGCAAATGGTAAGGTTTTATTCTTCTTTATAGCTGAGCAATACTCCATTGTATAAATGTACCACAGTTTATTAAACCAGTCGTCTACCGATGGGCATTTCGGTAGTTTCCAAGTTTTGACTATTGTAAATAGCGCTGCAATAAACAGGGGTGCATGTATTTTTTTCAAATTAGCATCTTGGGTTTCTCTGGATAGATACCTAAGAGTGGAATTTCTGGGTCATAAGGTAACATCATTCTTTTTCTTGATATGCACATCCAGTTCTCTCATTCTCTGTGTCCTTTGGAGATAGTGATTTTTAACAACAGTCAACAAGAGAGCCGGCCAAGTGGTGCGTTGGTTAGAAGTTGGCTTGAGATGCCAGCTCTGAGCAGAAGGGCCCCGTTCAGATCCCACATGCAGGCCAGTGACGCTGCGCCCTCTACAGCTAAGATGGTGAACAGCAGCTTGACCTGGAGCTGGGCTGCCGTGAGTCATTGGCTACGGCAAAGGCTGCCGGGGGCTGGCTGGCAGCAGACATGAGCTTTCATGAGCCGCTGTAAGCGGCCATCCAATGGCCAGCGAGCGACTGCCTCACCCAGGAAGAGCACAATGATAATACCAACATGGGCCAGTGAAGCGACGTCCTCTACAATCAGACTGAAGAACAAAAGGACAGCAACTTGTCTGTTTCCCTTCCCTGATTCCCCAACGCTGTTCCCCTCCCCCAATTCTCCAATAAAATCTTTAAAAACAAAACAAAACAAAAGTCAATAAGAAAAAGGTATCAGGACTCTAATTGTAAAACCCCCAATATTCAGAATACTTTAGTCCACTACTAAAAAAAAAAAAGTTTTAGTTCAAACACTGAAAAATGGCAATGCTTGGGCTTCCCGAGTGGCGCGTTGGTTAGGAGTCGGATTGGGACGCCAGCTCTGAGCAGCAGGGCCCTGGTTCAGATCCCACATTAGGGCCAGTGACACTGAGCCCTCTACAGCTAAGATGTTGAACAACAGTTTGACCTGGAGCTGGGCTGCCATGAGTCACTGGCTACGGTGAAGGCTGCAGGGGACTGGCTGGCAGCGGGCGTGAGCTTTCGTGAGCCGCCGTGAGCAGCTGTCTAACGGCCGGTGAGCAACTGCCTCTCCCGGGAAAAGCGCAATGTTAATACCAACATGGGCCAGTGAAGTGACATCCTCCACAACTAGACTGAAGAACAAAAGGACAGCAACTTGTCTGTTCCCCTTCCCCAATAAACTCTTAAAAAAAAAAAATTGCAATATTTGAAATGGGTGTAATGAATACTCTTCCTAGAATGTCACCAACATTCTGTCACCAATCTGGCCTTAATGTCTCTTTCCAGCCTATATTCGCCGGCAGACAACACCCAACCTTCTGCTGCACTGCTTCCCCCCTCACCTTGGCATCCCTCCACCCCCCTCCCAAACAAATCCAATTTGACTTTGAAACCAAATTAGTTTCTCCTAGACCCTTCTTCTAGCCCTGTAGCCCCCATGTGCTCATTAATCTTGTTCTGTTCAGGAATATTTTTATTAGAGTTACTCATCCCCCATCCCAGCACTATTTATGCTTTGCCTCCTTAATTATACCAAAAGCTCCCAAGAGGGCAACCATGTCTTATACTTCCTACAAAGAAGCCAAGAGCTACACTTTAGGTATTCAACCATTTCATGTGCTTTCCCTTTACTTGCATTCTTCTCCCTTACTCTCTTCTTTTCTACCTAAAAATCACTTTTCATACAAATCCAGATAATTGAAGATTATCATCTTTTTAAAGCTCAAGCAACTTTGTAGGGAAAACATTTGTTTGATTTCTTCCC